TCTGGGTGGGAGTTTATAAATTATGAGAGCAAGAATTGCTTCGTCATGTGGGATGGAATGTGTAAAGGGATTCTATATAAAAAAATATGATCCGGCTGTCATGTGAAATGGATATTTTTGATGGCTTCAATAGCTGCTATTGGATTGGGGAATGTATGGGGAAGTTTTTCTGAATGGTGATATATTGATGACAAATATTAATTTAAATTATATATTTATATATTATTACACTGTTTTTCTTTTGATTTTATTTACTTATTATAATGTATATATTAGATGGTTTATCGCCAACAAGCTTGTAAGGACATCCGTGGCTTACCTGAAGCACGCGACCTGCTGTGTTGCTTCATAACAAAAACCTCCAAAGATGGACGATTGGTCCAGGGAAATATTGGATTAATAAATAATCTAATTACAATCCAAAATAAGCCTTATTTTAAAAAATAGTATAGTATGTGGGGCGAACTACTACTAAACGGTTTTCCCTCTACACGGTTGTATAATATAAGTTGTTTTTGCTGTGTATAAGTATACAAGTTTACTAAGCTATCTAAAATTAATGAAATTCAGATACTTAGTTTTGAAGCAACTTATTAATTTGTAAATTATTGGCTGATAAATTGAGAGATCATTATAAAACAATATTGTATCTGAGTTTTATTAACTTCCGATCACTTATTGCACTCTAGCACTATTTGTGGGCGGAACTAAACGACACTCTAGACCAGTGATTCTCAACCTTTTTTTTTGTTGCGGCATTATTTTAAAGATTTGAAAATTTGGCGGCACAATTTAGAATTTCGCGGCACACTTTTGCTAACTTGAATGCAAGAAAATTCAAATTATGTATCAATATTTCTATGCAAAATATAAGTAATATACATCTCTAACATTCAATTTGCTAATTTCGTTATTTTAAAAAGTAAAAAAATGAAAAAGAAAAAAAGAAAAACCAATACAAACGTGAAACATAATCATATGACTAAAATTCGGCGGCACATTTTTAGAATTTCGCGGCACACAAAATTACCGCGGCACATTGGTTGAGAATCACTGCTCTAGACTATAAGAGACAAAAAACATACTATATACACGAGATTACATTACGGTACAACACGGAAATACGCCTGTATTTTTAACATTGAATAACAATAGGAATACTAAACTTAACGATACAGTATACAAGACAAAATACTACGATACACGAGGTTACACCGCGGTAATGAGTCAGTATTATCATCATTGAGAAACATCACAGCAGGAATAGTAAACTAAACGATACAGTATAATACGATGAAACACTGTATAGTGAGTCTTTATTATCACCATTGAGAACAGCACAGAAGGAATAATATACTAAAAGATACAATATATACAATACAGCACTGTATAGTGAGTCTGTCTTATTACCATACAGAACAGCACAGCAGGAATACTATACTAAACAATACAGTGGATTCAATACAGCACTGTATAGTGAGTCTGTATGATCACGATGACAACCATCACAGCAGAAACACTATAATAAACGATACAGTATATACGATACAACAATGTAATAAGTCCTGTATTATCACCATTGACAACAACCTAGCAGGAATAATATACTAAACAATACAGTATGCATGATACAACACTGCAATGAGTCTGTATTATTACCATTGATAACAACATAGCAGGAATAATATACTAAAAATTACAGTGTATTCAATACAACACTAGTGAGTCTGTACTATCACCATTGAGAACAGCACAGCAGGAATAACATACTAAACAATACAGTATATACAATACAAAAATATTTTCTCACAATGAGCTTATTTTTTATTCTAAAATGCTAGCTTTCAAGCTATAATCGCTCTTTAACGGGTTCAATACAAAACATTGACTATATCTTACAAGGAAAAAAAAGGTTTTAACACTTTATGATGAAAACGATACAACACTGTAGTGAGTCTGTGGTATCACCATAGAGAACAGCAGGCACTAAAGAGTACAGACCCCCCACGAGACAGTACAGGAGGACCTACGTTACCTACGGAAGCACCGCCATAAAGAGCTATGTACCCACGTCAGTCGCCCACCTGCTCAACGTGGGTAATTTCACACAATTGCCGTGTGACGTACAGCTTCTCTTTCACCCTTCCATAACCCTGCTGTAACATCACCCCTCATTCTCGCTCTGTTTTTTACATCTGACACAATTCTTTTGAGTTCAATTTGTGTAGATTTCGCAACACACGGCATTTTAGAAACTGAATAAATGCACTCATGAACAAAACTTGTGAAAGTGAAAAGTCATTGTTGTCGCTGGTATTTTATTATTATTTTTTTTTGAAGGAGACAGAGGCAACTTTGTTCACACTTGGGTATCACGTGCGTCTTCAATAAAGGTCACTATGAAGCAAATATCCCTTTAGAGTTATTGTCTGAATCCGGATATACATGCTAAAAGGTACAAAAGTCTAAAACTTCCTTAAGTTTTATCCATGCGTGTATTCAAATATAGCACCTTTAGAGAAAAATATTCATTAAATATTATTAAATATTCATTAAAAATACCATCTCAATAACACATTACCAATAAGTATTACATTTAAAATATATGTAATATATATATAGTTCATATTCTTTTGTATGCGGGTGACATCATGTTAATAGGTGATTTAAGAATCAATAAGCAAATATAAATATATGAAAAATACTTTAAAGAATACAACCAAAATTTAAACGAATCAAAATCTAAAATAAAAATCTCCGTAGACTGGCAGATCAGCAAGGAATGATAGATGACAATGGGATAGACTAGGGATCAGCAATATTTTGATTCGGAGGAGTCAAAAATTACAATTTACAAAATTTCAAAGTTTTTAAAGAGCCACAAAATTTTTTATTGCCAACAATAAATAGTACTCGCATAAATAATATTTACGTATGGAGCTATATAAAGAGCTTCACATCCAAAGAGCCGCATGTGTCTCGCGAGCCGCAGACCCCTGGTGTAGACAACCCTTAACATCAAATATACACTCACGGCGACAATTTCACCAAATCTAGTTGAGGAAAAATGTGACCACGAACGCGGTATGGACGATCTTGGATAGAGCCAAAAGGAAATCTTTCCTTGGAAACAAATCAAAGATGACAGGTCTGTAGGTCAACCCGGGTAGTTGACATTTTACGCTCTAGCAACCTGGCTTCACAAAATATATGTTCGTCTGTTACTTGCGTCTAAATTAAAATATATCTTTTTTTCATCCTGAAGTTTGTTCTAAATTATTTTCAACGAAAATAGACCTTCACTCTAAATGAAGTAAAAGTCAAAAATTATATTTAGGATTGTTTCACGGTAAAATAGCGCAAAATGGGGGATCACTATAACAAAATTTTATTGCACAGTTCCCAGTATTTACAAGAACATCTATATATTTTCTCGCCTTTGTTTAATCAGATGAACATATGCCTATTTTGAAACAATTACTAAGAATGTGAATACTTAAATGGGTCAAAATGGAAATTTGCTTCTCTCTCTCTATCATTCTCTATCTATCATTATTAATCTATCTATCATTATTATCTCTCTATCTATCATTATTAATCTTATTTATTCATTTTATGTATTTAACCTTATATAATCTTATATGTACTTTGAAATAAAGTAGTTTCAATCTCTCTCTCTCTCTGCAAGATGGTCCCCCTTTGTCCGCAGCCTCTCTCTCGTTGGGAGGGCAAGAGCTGCAAACTCCCTGGTGCTCTCCTCAGTGGTACACCATCTTCACGGATACCTGCCTACCGACTCCACCATCTCTAAGCTCCAAGCTCGACTGGTGCGATTCGTCTGGGGACCTGGGCGCACCGCCTGGCTGCCGGGAGGTGTTCTAGCACGCCCTGTCTCCATGGGTGGCTTCGGCCTCCTCGACGTCGGCACGCAGCTGAGACTGGCGTGTATGAAAGGTGTTCAAGCTTCGCTGCGTGGAAGTCTCAACGCCTACTCTTGGCTCACTGATAGTAGGGCCTGGTTAACTCCCCTTCCATCCGGGACATGGCTTCCACCTCGACGTCGTAGACTCCTGAAGATATGGGAAGCAGTTTCAGACTTCCTAGCACTGGACCACCCGATAGTTCCAACACAACAGCGGAGGGACCTCGCCATAATCGGAGGATGCAGGTTCCTCCGGCCAC